CCGTAGGTAGGTAGGTAAGCGAAGAGGAGGAGGAGGAGGAGGTGTAACAACCAGCAGAGGCAGGCACGAAGGGTGAGCGATATGAGGGCAGGTCGCGAGGGCTCTGATTTGAGGAGCTAGAAGTAGCATGCGCTGTGACGCATCGGCAAGGAAATGCTCACTACAAGCTCCTGCCACCCCCCCCCCAAACAAATCAATGTTATTGCTGATCCTCCTTACATTTGTGACGTACAAAGGAGGCAAACCTGAAATGGCATCCACCAAGCCTTCCACCTCTGACAGCTCTTCAAGCGCCTCCTTTAGCCTTCGCTCTGTCGAGGCCAGAGATGACGCCCCCGCTCCTGGTGTTTTGTCCTCCATCTCTTGCCGTGTGTTCGCCAACAAAAAAGCGGAAGTGGAAAAAGCTTTTCTCTCTCTTTCTCTTTTTCTGTACAGGTGCCCCCCCCCCGGTTCGCCTGACTCCCCGGGCGGAGACGCGTGTGGTGCTTCTTCCTCACGGTTGGCCCCACTTGGCGTAGTCTTCGCGTTCGCTGGCTGCGTACTCCTCGATGAGCTCTTGCACCACAGCCCTGCGCGAGGAGAGGAGGAAGATGGTTTAGCGCGTGCACCTTGGGCAAGCTCGAGAACGAAAACGGGTGGCTGCAGCCACCGAGAAGACGTACGCCGATACATCGAACTCTTCGAAGCTGTTCTCGAACATGGGATGCTCCTTGGTGTAGTTTTGCAGGTAGGCACCGCGGCTTCGCAGCTGCTTGTACTGCTTTAGGATGACCTCAAACAGCTGCATTTGTTTGTGTGGTATACCAAGCCAAAGTGAGAAGAGGAGAAGGGGGGAGAGAGAGAGAGAGATGGCGACCAGCACTCTCCCTCGCTCAAAACGGTCGGAAGAGGACGAGGAGGGGAGCGAGTACCGAGGTAATGCTGGTGTGGTTGGCCAACATGAGACCGCTGACCCGGTTTTGCGACTTGACGTAGGGAGACTTCTTGCTGAGCGCGACCTGTTCTTGGCATGAACGAG